GTGACGGTGCTGTGTGGTGACGGTGTTGTGTGGTGTGTGCTGTGTGGTGACGGTGTTGTGTGGTGATGGTGTTCTGTGGTGACGGTGTTGTGTGGTGATGGTGTTCTGTGGTGATATGCTCCAACTCCTAACGTTTCGGACATTTTTCCCATTTGGTGACACTAATTTTCTTGTTTCTAAAAAATGTTAGACTAAAATATTAATAGTAATTCATTTTATTTCCGTGTAATTAGGAATAGTGATTGTTAATAAATAGGGATAAATTAGATCTTATTTAGAATATCAAGATGAATGTTGTCGGGAGAAAAATGGTAAAATGTCTACAACTTAACTAGATGTTTGTGTACAGTAAGAGTGGCAACATTAGTCTGGTGTGCTGTACAGTATCGTGTCTACACTGTCCAGAGCGAGTGACCATGGTTATGTGACGGGACTCATTATTCCTCCTCCTTGAAAGTTGAAGTAAATCCGGTAGCTGTTTCAGATTCTTTCATTATTACAGTTCTTTCAGTGATACAGAGTTGGGGGTAAAAGTTTCTGAAAGTTGGGTTATCATTTTGTAATCACCAGGATGCCGCCTCCACTCTGTGTGTGTGTGTGTGTGTGTACGTGTGTGTGTGTGTGTGTGTGTGTGTGTGTGTGTGTGTGTGTGTGTGTGTGTGTGTGTGTGTGTGTGTGTGTGTGTGTGTGTGTGTGTGTGTGTGTGTGTGTGTGTGTGTGTGTGTGTGTGTGTGTGTGTGTGTGTGTGTGTGTGTGTGTGTGTGTGTGTGTGTGTGTGTGTGTGTGTGTGTTAGACCTTATCTACCAAGGTATCCCTGCCGTCCGTTATTGCTTCATCGTGGTTGGTGCCAAGAGCGTGTTAAGTCCCCTTGATAACACTTCCTCTCTGTGCCTGGCCTCTTGTTTTATACTGTTCTTATGTTTCTAGTGTTGTCTAGTGTTGTCTAGTTCCATAATGGGGGTCTCTATTTCTCTAGTATCGGAGTTTTAAATGTTATCACTATGTAGTAAAGGGATGCAGCGGCCTAGTGGATACAGTTCTCTCTGCCTCTTTGTATTCCACAGGCTTACTATGCAGTACAGTGTGTTGTATCCACTGTATCCCTAACAGGCAGTCTTGCACGTAGGACCACCTTTCACTTTTCACCCGGACCAGCAAAACTGAAATGACGGGGAAAAGAACAATAGGACACTATATATCACGCCTTTGTTAACCTTGTGTTAATTATTGCTTGGGTCGTGGTGGAAAGGCTACTACAGAAAGTGTATTGCAAGTAGAAGTTTGCAGCGGTGGATAGGTAGTGGCGTGAGGACAGTGGTGGGAGGCGGGTGATGGTGACCCAGGTGTGGGTAATAACAGCAGTGTTAGAACAGGATGTGTGGCGCCAGGGAGGTGCGGCGGTGGAGGCTGTGCTGGGGGAGGACTCTCGCCCCCTGTCTGGAAGAAGGGAGGGGGCTGGTCACCCCTTGGTTCCCTAATGTGTTGGTGGGCGCCGGGCATATGGTGTGTCTCAGGCCACGTACTCTTGGTGGTACTTGTGGTGGCGCCGCCCCCTATACCGCCACTCTGATAGATTATCCCGGGAGTTGATGATGACTCTTGCACGCACCACCACCCCCTGCCTCCCAGTGGCTGACAAATACTCCATCCTGCTTCCTCGTGGTTACAACTACTCACTCCATTCTTCTTTCTCTCTCTGTTACATTTGCGTCACCTCCTTATACTCACTATCCTGTTCATTGTATTTTAATCCTCCCCATTTTATGCCCCCCCGTATGACCTCTTCGTCATCCCCTCGCCCGCCCCAGCTCCCCTCGTAGAGTTTTCCTGATGATGTTGACCATTACTGAGGATTGAATTTCGTGAGTCAAGTCCAGGAGGGACTCTGTACACATGTTCCACGTTCATTATAAGTGAAAACCTGATAATCCCGTCAGTACATTACAAGTTTGTATGGTAGTTACACACACTGTTTAAATAAAAGACAATATTGACTGTTTGGACGTGTGGGTTTTTTTTTTTTTTTACGTCCCCGATATAATTTTTGGGGGAAGACTGCATACTCGTCTTTCCTTGCTGCACGCTGTATAGTATAGGGTTACCTGTGGCCGTCCATACAAAGCCGTGTTAATTCAGCACCGTGAGGGAGGCTTTATGTTAATAAGAATGGTTGCCGACTTATATACTTCAATTAACGTTTTCCAGCATTATTTACTCTTTTTAACTATGAAGCTTTAGGTAGTATTTATGCCGACTTGACGGATGATTTAGGTACTTTTTTCACTAACACCAATAGTTGTCAATACGATAATGGAATGAAGATTGAAATTATGCGAGCTAAATTTAGGACATTAGCATTGTGTCTGTGCGCCGTCTGTGTGTTGTTATTGTGCTTGCCGAGTGAGTGAAGGAGGGAGGGAGGGAGGGAAGGACCTACGGGAATGGGTAGAGTCGTCTTTGTGAAGGACCTGAAGGAGACACTGAGACATAATGCAAGTAAGATCTCCACATGTTGCGAGGAGTGTACCGTGAGGAAGGTGAGGGAACCAGAGTAGACGTGTGTAAGCGATGTCGTATGTGGATGGTAATGGCAAGTAAGCACGAGTTGAGAGCATGGTAATGGAGGTAGGCCAGGCCATGAGAACACCACTGAATGAGAGTAAGATTCATCGAGTTAAGTAGAAGAAGGAAAGTTTGTCCATACGTCTGTTCTGGTTATGAAACACAGTACAGGCTGATCAGGAACTTCCCTCTATGTGGATTGTGAGTCTTGGCGCCTGTCAGTATAACAGAACTAGCAATTGTGTTTATTACGTTGATGAAAAATAGTGTGTGTAGTGGTGCAGGTGGGTTAAAGGTGAGGGTATAGCCACGAGCATTAGAGAGCAGCGGGGGCCTCTTCATCGGCCCCACCCTAGGTTACAAAGGGTGAGGATGCTGTGTATAAAGGTGTAATTCACAGTCTGACAGGAGCACGGAGCTTGAAGGTGACAATGTAAACCACGTGTGTGTGTGTGTGTGTGTGTGTGTGTGTGTGTGTGTAGAACGTCAAGTATGGTAATCTCTCTCTCTCTCTCTCTCTCTCTCTCTCTCTCTCTCTCTCTCTCATTACACAACGCCTCCACATGGTTCGCTCTTATTTTTATCGCTGACGTTCGATTAATAATGTATTCGGCTTATGCGAGTGACGTGAAATAATGGATGACGAAACGGTGGAGGTTTATAGCAATAGGTGTGTGTGTGTGTGTGTGTGTGTGTGTGTGTGTGTGTGTGTGTCAAACAGTATCACCCAGACACGCCCTCTTGGTGGACCTGGTGGCTGACTGACTGACTGACTGACTGACTGAATACTTAGATGATGACTGGATGCAGAATGAGTTTAGAGAGACTCGTGGCTGAGTTGTTTTTAGTGTAGCTTCTATCTGCTCACATTGCCTGCCTCCCTGCCTGCCTGCCTGCCTCCCTGCCTGCCTTCCTTCACCTTTCTAAAAATAAACACTCTCTCTCCGTAATGAACTCATAAATATATATGAAGGATAATAGTTTTTTTTTTTCATGGAACTCCCAGGCTCAGCACAAGTCGCCTCACCTGTTAGTTTTTTTCTTGTCTTGGTTATTTGGAGAGAGAATGTGTTTTTGGTTATCAGAAAGTCGCGAGCTTTGTTCATCTCTCACACACACACACACACACACATTAATCACACACACAGGTTAACATCTCATAATAATTATATTTTATTTTAACCCCATTTTTAGTGGCCAGTTCACTGTCGGTAGCTCATGGACTATTAGTTAAGAATAAACAAGAAAAAACAAACTACTTATATGTTCTAATGTTAAATTGCGCGAGTAAACTTTGTAGGTTAAAACGTGGTGTTTGAAGTGTAGTGAGGGAGTATTTGTGATGGGTGATCTAACATATCTCACTTGAGGACACAGTTCATGGCTCCAGAGTTGAGAGGCAGCGTTAATAATCCGTCGACTTGTGTTTTGGAGAGATATTTATACTGTGCTGCTTTTATCAGGTCAGTTATTAACCCCCTGAACCGACCGTAGATCACATACTGTACTGTGCATCTCACCCTACGTCAAGTTTTGTACATGTGTAAGGGTCAGTTAGGGGCTGCACTGGTATTTGGGACATAAAACACAATATATGTCTTATTTACACACACACACACACACACACACACACACACACACACACACACGTTCCAATAAGAGTATCGTGTCTCCTCTGATCACCTGAGATAATCCGTGTCTGGCAGGTCCCTCCTTCCTCACACCTGAAAAACAACCAAGTACGTGTTTACTTTCGATAATCCAGGTGAAGGTTAAATGACAACAACAACAACAACGAGGAAGTTATCAATTTACATAAACAGTTTGAGTGGCGCCAAAATTACGTAATATTGATAAGGAAACAATTTGCTCACGAGTAACACAAATGGTGGCCAAACACTTCCTCCATCTTGTTAGTTGTATGTGAACTGAGCATGTTTTGGGCTGAACACCTATATTATCCTTTACTTAATATGGGCTAAGTGGGAGGTGTGTGACAGGTGGATAGCAAGCGAGTGTTTGTACCTGGTGTCGGAGTTGTCAGGAGAGTTGTGCTGCGTATTGTCCCCTGAGTCGATAATGTAAAGGCTTGCCGTGTCATTTAATCTGATACCGTGATGTGTTCAACGCTTCTTACTTGTAAATAATGAACATATGAGTAATTTTTTTATTTAACGGTAAGTAATATCATTTTCTCTCGCCCAGTAGAGTTGTCCAGTTTACAATAGAATTATGGCTACGTGTGTGACGGGCGTTTACTTCAGAATTTTGCATTATTGCTTTCCATACATGTTGTGAAGTTTGTATTGTATATGATGTGTAAATTTATATAAGGTACAATAATTGTTTCATCTTATGTTTAGTGTTTATGCATCTTGATAGGGTAAGATGAGTTTGATAATACAAGTGTGTAATAAAGGTGACGTTTGTGTTGCAGGAGAGAAGGGTAGCAGTAGTGTGGGCGGGTCCAGTGGGGTGAGCAACAAGGAGCAGCGGCGGTCAGACCCCGGCAGTGTGGTTGGTGTGGTCCTTGGCAACCACCACCCCAACAATACCAACGCTGCTACAACCAACAATACCTATACTGCCTCCAACGCCTCCACCTCCACCCTCACCGGCGGAGACCTCCCCAACAACAGCTCCGACGCGCTAGAGGAGTACGGCTCTCCTGACTTCCCGACAACCAACTCTGCCTCCTCAGACGGCGCGTGAGTACCCACCTCTTTCTGTATCACCTGAAGCTCTGTCCCGTTAGTCACATTCGCCCCTGTTGTGATCCTCATCTATAATATTAATCACAACTTCACGTGGATATTTTCTGTTGGTTTACTATATAAAAAGTATTACGGTGCGGTAAGTCAGGGTGACGACTAGTGTGTGGGTGAGAATGGTGCGGTCGTGTATTACCTCGAGTACTTCAAAACGGCTCCTTTACACCACAAGTAAAACACAGCGTCATCGTCAACGAGGAAAGAAACAATTATCTGGTGGAACTGTGAGATCGAGGAAGGTGAGATGGTGCAGGTGAAGGGTACGTGGAGAGAAGACCCTGGCGACAAGCTGTGTGGGAGGACCTTTGAGAGGGTTTAGGTCAACGTGATACGATTCACCGAGTTGTCCCATGCTTCACTTCCTTCTCCTGTTCACTTCCTCCTCCTCCTCCTGCTTCACTTCCTCCTCCTCCTCCTCCTCCTCCTCCTCCTCCTCCTTCACTTATCCTCCTTCTTCACCTCCTCACCCCCGCCCCATTAGTGCTTACCCTTGCAGTATTTTCAGTTGCTTTCAGTGTCGCATATTGATTCGCTCTCAGAGGTTGGAAGCCATTGTGTTCCGTGACCCTTGATTTTCGTGAAAATGTTAGTTTTCGAAGGAGCATTGTATTTTTTCTCCCCTCTGAGAAAAGGACTTGAACACAAAAGCTTTTGCCATTTCAGCCTGACTTTTGGAAATGGTTTCACGTGAGGTAAACGTTGTGCCCCTGCGACTAAGAGTTTCTTTTAATGAAGAGTACTGTACTGTACTTGCCAGGGTTCAGCAAGCTGTCCTCTGATAACGCCCATTTCTCGGGCCACTTTAAACTAACATGATGTTGGGGATTCCTCTTCGGACTGACTGCCCCGGAGGTTTAAAAAAAATGGGTGATAAATGTGAAATTAGCTCCCATAGGCCCGACTGCCCGCTAAGAACAGTATGGGTTCAGCTCAATGTATTATTAAGTTTTCGCTGCACTTGGAGGAAGTGTCAAGAGTACTGCCCTCGACCCCCTCACTCCCCCAACTGGGTTGCCTCGGGTGAACCCACGACCCATATGACAGGAGGTGAACACTGAATGCACTCTGCTTCTGCAGCCCAATAGCGTGTTGTTCTGTAAGAGACAAAATTATCTTCCCAGTTTGGGATGAATGTATCTCGGAATACTGAACCCATCCGACACACTCTGTTGGCGGGCCTGGAGAGACTATACCTGGGTGTCCAGAGTATTCTGTTGTGTATCATGGCTGTGAAATATATCATGTACCACATTAACCATTTTGGGATGTTTGGCGCCATGATGTGCTTCATGTTCCTGTGTAGTCGAGGTAAATCTTTGTTTGTGCTTCTCCAGCTTTAAAAAAATCATCAGACAAAACTGGGAAGAGTTTTGTCACTCTACCCACTGTACTGTCACTCTCTACCTACTGTTACTGTCACTCTCTACCTACTGTACTGTCGCTCTCTACCTACTGTTACTGTCGCTCTCTACCTACTGTACTGTCACTCTCTACCTACTGTGCTGTACTCGTAAAATAAAACTAAATTTGGATGGCACTTTTTGCTGTCAGTTTAACCGGAAATATGATTCATCAATAAATAATAATGACATTAGGAAATTTAAGAGTTATGGATCTCTGATTATAGTGAAGCTTTAGATACGTAGAGACAATCGTACAGACATAAGAGAGGAGTCATTGTCACACGTTCTGGATAATAATACTGTGGCGTATTTACAGTTAGCTGGATGTTTTTTTTTAAAGTAATGTAAAAATTATTTCTTTTAACTTTTTAATGGGTAACTCAGGCTTAGGTGTGTTGAGGAGTGATGCTGTAGTTGTGGTGTGTGTTGCTTTGGTTGTGGTGTGTGTTGCTGTGGTTGTGGTGTATGTTGCTGTGGTTGTGGTGTGTGTTGCTGTGGTTGTGGTGTATGTTGCTGTGGTTGTGGTGTATGTTGCTGTGGTTGTGGTGTGTGTTGCTGTGGTTGTGGTGTGTGTTGCTGTGGTTGTGGTGTATGTTGCTGTGGTTGTGGTGTGTGTTGCTGTGGTTGTGGTGTGTTGCTGTGGTTGTGGTGTGTGTTGCTGTGGTTGTGGTGTATGTTGCTGTGGTTGTGGTGTATGTTGCTGTGGTTGTGGTGTGTGTTTGCTGTGGTTGTGGTGTGTGTGCTGCTGTGGTTGTGGGTGTATGTTGCTGTGGTTGTGGTGTGTGTGGTGTGTGGTTGTGGTGTATGTTGCTGTGGTTGTGGTGTGTGTTGCTGTGGTTGTGGTGTGTGTTGCTGTGGTTGTGGTGTGTGTTGCTGTGTGGTTGTGTGGTGTGTGCTGTGGTGTGTGTGGTGTGCTTGCTGTGGTTGTGGTGTGTGTTGCTGTGGTTGTGGTGTGTGTGTGTGTGGTTGTGGTGTGTGTTGCTGTAGTTGTGGTGTGTGTTGCTGTGTGTTGTGGTGTGTGTTGCTGTGGTTGTGGTGTGTGCTGCTGTGGTTGTGGTGTGTGCTGCTGTGGTTGTGGTGTGTGTTGCTGTGGTTGTGGTGTGTGTGTGCTGTGGTTGTGGTGTGTGTTGCTGTGGTTGTGGTGTGTGCTGCTGTGGTTGTGGTGTGTGTTGCTGTAGTTGTGGTGTGTGTTGCTGTGGTTGTGGTGTGTGTTGCTGTGGTTGTGGTGTGTGCTGCTGTGGTTGTGGTGTGTGTGTTGCTGTGTTGTGGTGTGTGTTGCTGTGGTTGTGGTGTGTGTTGCTGTGGCTGTGTGTTGCTGTGGTTGTGGTGTGTGTGTTGTGGTGTATGTTGTGGTGCTGTGTGTTGTGGTGTGTGTTGCTGTGGTTGTGGTGTGTGTTGCTGTGGTTGTGGTGTGTGTTGCTGTGGTTGTGGTGTGTGTTGCTGTGGTTGTGGTGTGTGTGCTGTGGTTGTGGTGTGTTGCTGTGGTTGTGGTGTGTGCTGGTTGTGGTGTGTGTTGTGGTGTGGTGTGTGCTGCTGTGGTTGTGGTGTGTGTTGCTGTGGTTGTGGTGTGTGTGGTGCTGTGTGTTGTGTGTGGTGTGGTGTGTGTTGCTGTGGTTGTGGTGTGTGTGCTGTGGTTGTGGTGTGTGTTGCTGTGGTTGTGGTGTGTGTTGCTGTGGTTGTGGTGTGTGTGTGTTGTGTGGTTGTGTGGTTGTGGTGTGTGTGTTGCTGTGGTTGTGGTGTGTGTTGCTGTGGTTGTGGTGTGTGTTGCTGTGGTTGTGGTGTGTGTTGTGTGGTTGTGGTGTGTGTGTTGCTGTGGTTTGTGGTGTGTGTTGCTGGTGTGTGGTTGTGTGTTGCTGTGGTTGTGGTGTGTGTGTGTGTGCTGTGGTTGTGGTGTGTGTGTTGCTGTGGTTGTGGTGTGTGTGTGTTGCTGTGGTTGTGGTGTGTGTGTTGCTGTGGTTGTGGTGTGTGTGTTGCTGTGGTGTGTGTGGTGCTGTAGTTGTGTGTGTGCTGTGTTTGTGGTGTGTGTGTGTGTGGTTGTTGTGGTGTGTGTGGTGTGTGTTGCTGTGGTGTGGTGTGTGTTGCTGTGGTTGTGGTGTGTGTTGCTGTGGTTGTGGTGTGTGTTGCTGTGGTTGTGGTGTGTGTTGCTGTGGTTGTGGTGTGTGTGTTGCTGTGTTTGTTGACTCACTCAGGAGGAAGGGACCACCTCTGTGCCAGTGATTTATGGCCACTTAGTTCTATTTTAGGTAACGGAAACTAGACGAGTGCATTGACAGTTGTCCCCCTCTCGTACCTCAAGAGTCCGTAGTCTTCAGGGTCTGTCACCTACTGTACTATGTTCAGTATATCTCGGCAAATGGTTTTCACAGTTAGTTTTTCCAGCGTTTCTTTATTGTTATGCTTCTACAGGTATGTATGCATGGAGAGGACGGTGGCTCCCAGTCCTCAGTTGACATTAGTTGCCTCTCCGTCGGTCTCCCTCTACTGTTTACATCCATACTGTAAATAATGAAGGAGTAAGAATCAGGACACCATCTCTCGGCTGTTGTGAATCCAGACTTCGTGTTGGTACAATATAGCTGGACATTATCCACCTGGCCGATGATCACACTCACCCTCCCAACGCTCTCTACCTTGTTGATGCTCACACCAGACGTGCCTTGTGTCTTGTAGTCTGTTCATATTACGTGCTGTTGGTGAAGCTTCTCTGGTGAGACACAAACCCTCCTCCCTGCCTTCGCTCCCATGATAAATACTTTCGTCTTAGTGGGAGCGTGGGTGTAGCTTAATGCACTCCTTTTAAACATATACTCAGAAATCTGTATAGGAAGTAAAGATGGTGTTAGTCTCCTGGTGCTTCTTGAGTGGTGAAATGACTCTCCACCCTGTCCGAGGCTGATCACTGGTGCCCATGACTTGTGTGTTGGCCGCCATACGCCTCTGGTCACCCTTTTTTTTCTTCTTGGTGATGTGATGTTGTCATCTTGATGCACCTTCACCACACACACACACACACACACACACGGCTCGCCAACCATCTCGAGGTGGTGATATCTGGGTTGGGTGTTATGTACGCCTTGGAATTTTGTGGAATGGAATATAAGTGTCGGGTGTAATTTTGTCCCATTTCATTGAATTTTGTTAAGTTTGTCCGCCTTATTACTGTAATGTTTGAAGTGTAGACTGTGGATATGTGTGTGTGTGTGTGTGTGTGTGTGTGTGTGTGTGTGTGTGTGTGTGTGTGTGTGTGTGTGTGTGTGTGTGTGTGTGTGTGTGTGTGTGTGTGTGTGTGTGTGTGTGTGTGTGTGTGTGTGTGTGTGTGTGTGTGTGTGCCCTCCCTGTACAACAGTGATGGTATCTGATTCTCGCCTCGTTGCGCAGGAGGCCGCCAGGTGGCTGTGGTTACAGACAACTCCTACCAACAGCATAAGCAAAAAAAAAAAAAAAAAATTCACTGGATTACAGAAATATTCTCCTTGGTGCCACATGTCGTCCAGTAACTGTTATTGTTGGGTGTTTATTTACTTAACGTTTGTAACTGAAGCCCAGCGGGAGCCGTCGCGTCTCACCTGATTGGGTTGACCTTTGTGATAATTAGTTTTAACACACACACACACACGCACACACACACACACACGCACACACACATAAAAACAAATAATTTGTAATCGTTGTAAATACTGTATGTTGGTAACTGTGGTGGCGGCAGTGTTTACTAATTATTATTAATGTTGCTTATGCTATTAATGTTACAACTAACCCGGGAAATGTTTCTTGATAACCAAATTCAAGGTTCTTCTCAACTTTTCCCTCAAAAATAATCTTTAAATTTCACCTTTGACTGAATCTTTTGCTTCTAATAAATATTTTAATACATAATTTTTTTTTGTGTATATATGTAACCAGTTGGTGATGGACACAGCATGTCAGTGTTACGTGTTGACCAATGAGTGTTACTGACATCACCGCTACGGAGCAGTAGACTGGTGGTGTGGTAACTGTTAGTGTGTGTCTGAGTGTAACCTTGTTGTCCTGTGTGGTTTTCCAGCAGCGCCGCCGTCTCCAATACCTTCAGGTTCCTGCAGTCCGCCTGGTCCTCTCAGTCTGACTTGATGTGAGTTAATGTTTCATGTTATTGTCTGATGATCCTGCTTCAACCACCGTCCCTCCCTCCCTCCCTCACCCACACACCACACTACCGCTTCCATGTGGCGGTGGTGATGGTCTTGTAGTAGTTAGTTGTGTTTCCCAGTTGCAGGTAGTCGTATTTTGAGGTGTAGTGTAGTGCACGAGTCTTACGCCCGTGTTATTAAGCATCTTCCCTTGAAGAGGGTCGTCGTGTTTCAACCCGAGTTTTAAACTAAATGAGTCCTGAGGGACACCGCAGTACAGTACTTAACGGGGTGGTGAGGCGGTAAGATTAACTAGTTCCAATAAAATTAATTAAAATATTGGAATTAGTTAATCTTACCGCCTCACCCCGTTAAGTACTGTACTGCGGTGTCCCTCAGGACTCATTTAGTTTAACACTCGGGTTGAAACACGACGACCCTCTTCAAGGGAAGATGCTTAATAACACGGGCGTTACTGTGTCAAGTTTGCCCCCCCCGTGTGTGTGTGTGTGTGGCTGTCAAGTGTAGTGTAACTTGTGTGTGTATCTAGTGTAGTGTAACTTATGTGTGTATTGTGTGATGTAACATGTGTGCATCTTGTGTAGTGTAGTGTAACTTGTGTGTGTATCTTGTGTAGTGTAACTTGTGTGTGTATCAAGTGTAGTGTAACTTGTGTGTGTATTGTGTGATGTAACATGTGTGCATCTTGTGTAGTGTACTGTAACTTGTGTGTGTATCTTGTGTAGTGTAACTTGTGTGTGTATCAAGTGTAGTGTAACTTATGTGTGTATTGTGTGATGTAACATGTGTGCATCTTGTGTAGTGTACTGTAACTTGTGTGTGTATCAAGTGTCTCTAATGACTGACGTATTCTATGTTGTGTGGGAGAGTTGAACACGACTGCGTACCCACACTGTAGCTCTCATGACCTCACCACACCCTGGCTGATATTGTGCAGGTCCTGACTGATCCAAGCACAGTTCACAGGTCCTGACTGATCCAAGCACAGTTCACAGGTCCTGACTGATCCAAGCACAGTTCACAGGTCCTGACTGATCCAAGCACAGTTCACAGGTCTTGACTGATCCAAGCACAGTTCACAGGTCCTGACTGATCCAAGCACAGTTCACAGGTCCTGACTGATCCAAGCACAGTTCACAGGTCCTGACTGATCCAAGCACAGTTCACAGGTCTTGACTGATCCAAGTACAGTTCGCAGGATCTGATTTTGTAGTTGACTCGGTTTTCAGGAGGCGACTGTGTGGTGAGCTCGGTCACTCTGCCACAACTCTCACCTGTTGGTCACCTGTTGGCGAGGTTAACAACTATTCTCAGCACACGTCTCGTTTGGTTTTGTAGCAGCATTTGTTTGAGTCCTTTGTAACACCTTCTCCTTTGTCTTGTGTCACTAGTGCAATATGTACTGTACATATATACAATATGATATAAATGTGTATTTTCAGGTTTATGTAAATAGTAAGGGAAAATTGATACAGTGTAAAAATGCATTTGTTACTGGTCAAAAGCTTTCAACATACTAAGTAACCAAAGGCGTTAATGCTACCAGAGTATTGCATGTCTCACGCATGACCGCTACACTGCACTGCTAACTGCTTGGGTGATTTATATTTTTCTATGTGTAAATATAATTCGAGTTTCTCTTTATAGGTTCTGAATAAGAGTAATTTTAAAAGATCTTTTTGTGTTCCCCCAAACGATGGACTGTTTAATCCTTCTCAAAATGGGCAATTAATTTACATAAAAGACTTACTTCAGCCAACGAGCCATAGTCTCAAATGTTAAGCCTCGTTAATATTTTCCCAGAAAGATGAACATATTTACAATGGTCTTTGAACCTTGTGGCCTGTTAAGTATGTTGTTGTTGCACGTTATGTCATTGAGTCAGACGGAAACGGGGAAGTGTGATGTGTTTTACCTTGAGACGGTGTGGCGTTGTTACTATCGCTGTGGGGTCACACTGGTGTTGGCTGACTGATGTGAATAACAACATGTTCGTGCAGCCGTCATCATGCCGACCCACGTGTAGGAGGTGCATGTGTTACCTCACACTCAGGTAAAATTATTTCCAATTTGCACCGAGTATGAAGTTAGAAAGCCTCGTGGCCGCCTTTGTGCTGGTCAAGACGGCAATATATTGTGTGATTTCACGAGGCTGAGGAAGGGAGGGAGCGACCCACACCACTCCAGGTTTCTCCTTGTCTACGATGTGTCTCTAGTACTTTTCTTCGTGTGAGTCACCTCCAGAGTTTATTTTTCCCATTTCTTTAAAAAGTTATCAGTTGGTGGCAAGTGTTACAACTTAAACTCAGAATATTTTCGGGGGTGTAGGAGTGAACGGCAGCTGGTCGACACTTAGGGTAGATATACTTCTTACCTCTGTCTGACCACCGAGGCAGAAGGTAGGACTACAGACTGCCATATTTGTAGCTGAAATTTTATCCACGTTTAGGTTTGACAGACGGCCGTCACGTAAAAATAGTTGGACACAAATCAGTTGCGCCATATTACCCCAAATTTGAGATTGATCGGAGAGAAATTGGAGGAGCCATCGTGGCGCTGCCCTGACGGAGAACACGCGAAACTGTACAGCAAGTGAGAGAGTTAGGACTCCTGCCTGTGTGTGATTTCATTGCAAGTGTCACTCACCTCAAAATAACCGTGTGTGTGTGTATGTGTGTGTGTAGAGATGTTGACGGTGATATGTACTCATGTTTCACGTTAGATGTGTAGATGGGAGACAAGATTTATAGATAACTAAAATATCGACCTTCAAGAGACGTGCAGTAGTGGTAAGGTTCAGCCACGTTGTATCTATTGTTTTGTCTAAATAAGCTGTTTTAGTTTCAATTGACTGGGTGAGGGTGATGGGTTCTCAGGCCAGACTCTCCTCCCGGTAATGACTGACTCGGTTACGAAGGATAAGCAGCAGTTTCTAACATGACAACGGGTGGCGTGTCTAGTATAAGGGTGGCTGTGGTGTGTCTAGTATAAGGGTGGCTATGGTGTGTCTAGTATAAGGGTGGCTATGGTGTGTCTAGTATAAGGGTGGCTGTGGTGTGTCTAGTATAAGGGTGGCTGTAGTGTCTAGTAGGGTGGCTGTGGTGTGTCTAGTATAAGGGTGGCTGTGGTGTGTCTAGTATAAGGGTGGCTGTGGTGTGTCTAGTATAAGGGTGGCTGTGGTGTGTCTAGTAGTATAAGGGTGGCTGTGGTGTGTCTAGTATAAGGGTGGCTGTGGTGTGTCTAGTATAAGGGTGGCTGTGGTGTGTCTAGTATAAGGGTGGCTGTGGTGTGTCTAGTATAAGGGTGGCTGTGGTGTGTCTAGTATAAGGGTGGCTGTGGCGTGTCTAGTATAAGGGTGGCTGTGGTGTGTCTAGTATAAGGGTGGCTGTGGTGTGTCTAGTATAAGGGTGGCTGTGGTGTGTCTAGTATAAGGGTGGCTATGGTGTGTCTAGTATGTGATGACCTATAGTGATGATTTCTGCTTGTGTGGTGGCGGTATGGTGCCACAATTGACGATGCATGGTGTTGTTGGTGGCGCTAGCTGTCACGATAACCACCGGGAACGCGGAAATGTGGGCAGTCGACCCTGAAGGAGGAAGGAAACGGGTCGGGTGGGGTGTGTAGGGCTCTCCTGCTGCTGGGGATGCAGTCACCACCCCACCACACGCTGCTGGTAAAGTCAACTGTTATCAGTCTGAGGACGAGAAGAAGTTTTGTTGATGTTAAATAAATATATATGTAGTAATAATGTTAGTTTGGGGGCTTGGTGGGTGAGGGTAGTGAGGTGGTGGATGAGGGAGTGAGGTGGTGGATGAGGGAGTGAGGTGGTGGATGGGAGGAGGTGGGTGGGTGGGGTGGTGGGTGAGGGAGTCAGGTGGTGGGTGAGGGAGTGGGGTGGTGGGAGGGGAGGGGAGGTGGTGGGTGAGGGAGTGAGGTGGTGGGTGAGGGGAGTGAGGTGGTGGGTGAGGTGAGGTGGTGGATGAGGGAGTGAGGTGGTGGATGAGGGGAGGTAGGTGTGTGGATGAGGGTGGTGGTGGGTGAGGGAGTGAGGTGGTGGATGAGGGAGTGAGGTGGTGGATGAGGGAGTGAGGTGGTGGATGAGGGAGTGGGGTGGTGGACGAGGAAATGGCAGAGTGGATGAAGGTAATTGGGTGATAGGGAGTGGAGTGTGGGTGGGGATAAAGGCGCATAGATAGTGGATGAGGAAGACAGCTGGTGGGTGAGGGAGTGGATGACTGGGTGAGGAGGGGCGGTACCAGGAAGCGGCCGGTCTGCAGTCACGATCCTCTCACATTTGTGTATGAAGATTGGCTGGCTGGCTGGGTGTTGAGGCGACCCTTGACGGCGCCTCGGGGAGTCTCGGCCTTCATGTGCTGAAATGAATAATGCACACGTTAATATGTTGCTAGAGAGGTCTCACTTTTCCTGGATTTTTATTTTTATTTTTTATTCTTCATTTATTTATTTATTTAGTTTTTTTTTTTTTAGAGAGAGAGAGAGAGAGAGAGAGAGAGAGAGAGAGAGAGAGAGAGAGAGAGAGAGAGAGAGAGAGAGAGAGAGAGAGAGAGAGAGAGAGAGAGACTTTGCAAATGGAAGTTTTTCGTGACAAGTGATGTTTGATTGAGAAATTAAGGTGGAGATGATGATGATGTGCTCAAGTAAAGGAGGAAAGAGCAAGGGGGCGATGGAACTTGGATGTCGTTGAACATCACCTTATCCTCTTTAGCATCACCCCTCCCTTCCTAACATCACCCCTCCCTCCCTTCCTAACATCACCTCTACGTCACACCTCCCTCCCTAGCATCACCCTCACCCTCTCTAACATCACCCTCCCTCCCTAACATCACCCCTCCTCTCTAACATCACCCTCCCTCCCAACATCACCCTCCTCCCTAACATCTAACATCCCTCCCTCTAACATCACCCCTCCCTCCCTAACATCACCCCTCCCTCCCTAGCATCACCCCTCCTCCCCAGCATC